GGGAAGGGGCGGAGGGGGGATTTCTTGCACCGGGAGAGCCATGTCGGCCCGAGAGGTGGGGCGGCAGACTCGTGTGATCGTGTGAGCCGGAACATGCGGCACAAGCATGAGCGCTGAAGGAGCTCGTCCGCGACTGCCCAGCTAGGAGATCGGAGAGTACATGGTGCGATTTGACAGATAGCAGATACTGCGTCTCAAGAACGCGGCGACGCAGACAAGACTAGTACGTACGTGCAGAGATGTGTGCCTCGGTTTGTTTGGTTCCGCACCACATCACTGCAAGATTGCATCTCCCACGTCGAGTTCCGTCTGCCCGCGGCTCTGGCTAGTCCGCCCACGCCGCCGCTCGCTGACCATCTACTTGCCATACTCTGAACGCCCTCGGCCATGCGCAGCCGCACACCGATCAGCCCATTTAGCGATCTCGGCGGCTCCCGAACGACTGGGTGATCCGGCCATGACTCGCACGATCACCGCAGCCGCTCGGCTCGTAGTCGCGTCGCTGCGTTGATCAATGCTCAGAGCTGGTCACGCTGCGCAGTCGGCCTCCCGACTCCGCTCGCGCCCTCCGCCTCTCGCCTCCTCGCTCATGACGACGCTGCTGCTGGAGAGCTCGAGGGCTCGAGGGGTCGAGGGCACCGAGGGCGCACCCCACGTTGAATCCATTGCCCCCGCAGCTCCCGACGCTCTCACTCTTGTATCGCTCTCGCTCACATCGCTCTCGCTCGCCGACTCCCTCATGCTCACACTCCCTCGCTCACTGATACTCTGCCTCTAGTCACGCCAGCATGCACCTCACCCTCGTCGTGGCGCCCGCGGCGCTCCACGCCGGCGTGTGGGACGACGCGCGGAGCGTTGCGGTTGCGCGCGTGCCGCTCCGCACCATGAACGTCCCGGTGGTGAGTATCCCCGCCTTAACTCTGGGCAGCCCGCCTGGAGAGTTCCGCCCGAAACTAGAGTAGCTCACCCACAGCCCTCGCTCGACAAACACGCCCTCTTTGCTGCTCTCGAGAAGGCGCTCGCACTTCTCTCATCCATCGACCTCACAAACGTCACCTCCCTCAGCGGAGCCGCATACCCCGCCCTCGTCGGTGAAGTAGTAACGGACGCATTCAGCCCCCCCGCCGACGGCGTCCCGCTCACCAAGTGGCTGGAAATCTCGCTGTCCGAGGACGGCTTCACCGCTCCGCACTGGCGCGCCTGCGGTCTCCACTGCCGTGTCCTTCCTTGTGTGTACCCCCGCGGCGCAGCTCACCCAGTCCTCCCTCTCGCCACAGCCGCTGCCATCAGCACCGCGCCGGGCCCACACGACATGGTGCTCCTGCACGACGACCTGGACATGCTCGTCCTCCCCTCCGCGGACGTGCGCACCGCGAGCGTAGTGCAGGACCCGAACGGGCGCGTGGGCCGCATGCTCTTGCGCGACAAGTACGGCAGCGGGCGGTGGACCGTGCTGGCCAAGCTCGCGCTGCTCTTCGCGCCGGGCGGCAGCATCGGGGTCGACAACAAGCGCTTCGCGTTTGTGCGGTAGGCCGCGGTCTGTCGCCGCTGACGGCAGCCCCTTCGCGGCCAAAGCGGGCACCGTGCGCTTCGAGCACGGCACGCCCGTCGACGAGTTCTACGACCTGCGCGCGAACACGCGGTGCGCCGCCCCGCCGCCGAGCTGACGCCAGCTGCGTCCTCGAGTCCCAAGTGCTGGCATACAAGATGGCAGCGGGCAACCTCTGCCCGGCGCGCATCGTCCTCCTGACAGACGAAGACAAGTGCGTGCTTCTACGCGACGCTAACCCAGCCCGGCGGTGCCGCACCTCCTCGCCAACGTGTTCGACTGCGCGGTCCTCGCCCCCCTCTCGCCAGCGACGGCGACACCCGCCGCGGCGGCAGCGTACGGCGCCGCACTCCTCGCCCAGGGCGGGGACATGCCGGGCGTCCGCGCGCTCCTGCACGCGCAGTACGCGCACGCGCACGCCGAGCCGCGCACGCCGCCCGCCCTCGCCGTCCCGACGCCGGGAGTCAGCCAGTTCCCCACACACCCGCCGTCGCCTGCGGCGTCCGAGGCGGGCGACGCGCCCGAGTGGCTCCGCCAGCTCGCGCCCGCGCCAGCGGATAAGTGGGAATGTGCGATCTACGCGGCCATGATGCCCGAGTATGCGCGCGTGCGGTGCGTGTGCGTAGGGATGGGCTGACGGCAGCGCGATCGTGGACTCGGGCGTTGTGGCTCCTGGGACGTTTTAGTAGATAGCAGAGTGGGCGGACACTGGATGTATATTTCGGGTGGACAGCGGGGACGAGGGAAGACGAGAGCCACCGTGGGAAACTTACGACGAAGTTCATCTCCGTCCATCGCGCTCCGTGCACTCATCAACAATCATCATGTCCGGTCGCCAGGGTGGGTGGAGTGTCGGGCCTGCTGACGCCAGGTGGTAAAGGTGAGTAGGTGTGCGCGTGCGGGTGGAAGGGAGGATGGAGAGGATGGAGAGAGGACGGACTGACCCCCGCTAGCTAAGCCTCTCAAGGTATGTCCCGGTAGCGTCGACGTGGACGCGTGCTGACGCTCTCTTGCTCATCCGTCGTCCTCGTGCAATGTCTCCGTGCCGTCTTGCCGGTCTGGTTCGTCGACTCCGCTTCGCCGCACGCTCCCGTCGCGTTGCGTGCCCGCTCGCCGCTCTCTCCTCCTCGCCTCGTCTCCTCCCCTCCTCAACTCGTCTCCTCGTCTCCGCCCTTATACCCCTCTTACCC